CTAAATTATTCCACAGGTTCTGTCTGATTTTCATTCACCCTAAATTTTTGGTTGACCGAATGCTTTATGCCTCCTACCCTTGCACAAGCGCTCCGTCTGGCCCTGATAGAGGTGTTCGAGCTTGAAGAGGGTCTTCTCGGACCATCCCTGCTAGTCTTACAGCTGTGGAATGGATGGTTTAGTAGGCCATAGACAGCTGTCAAATCGAACTATTGAACTAATCGAGCGTGAATGCGCATCACTAACGCCCGCTCGCGTTGCACTGTCGCCACCGAGCGGGCGAGCTGTGCGCGCACTCTTCTAGTGAAATTCAGACCGACGATGTTTTCGATTTTATTCGTGTGTTCCTCTCATGTTTTCCCCATCAGTTCACTTCTGCACTATCGGCTGATCGATCTCGCCTTTGCTGGCCGTCTGTTGCTGTGCTGCGGTGGAGGAGATTTTTCTTCCGGCGAACGGCGAACGCCACGAATTCCATCCCGCTCCTCGTTCACCTTCCGTGGCTGCCATCACCATCACTTATCATTCGAGTAAAAACCAGTGCTATCAATCAAATCTCATCGTTCATCCGCCATCGTAACAGTTCTGAGCGCTCACTCGTTGCCATATTGCCCACGTTGTCCATTACCAATTTATTCATGAATAATTCAGATGGTCCTACCGCTGTGTCGGTGTCGGGTACTGTATATAGGATCGTCTGTGCCAACGATCACCAAAGATGGTCTCCAGGGTATCCAACAACCGCTTCGGGAACGCTATCCCGTCGAGGACACACCAGAGACCCGTGGAATCGATTCATGGTAAGTCCGACAGAGCTGCTGCTCTGGTACTGTAGGATTACGGTAGCACGCTTTCAGGCTTTCCGTATGGTCAAATGGTATTCTACTCGAGTATATTGAAGGCGATAAGAAGAGCGAAACGGCGTTCTTCCCTATTAACACGCTACATTATTGCGCCGCAGTGCGATATGTGAACGTTACGGGTTATGCGGTGGAAGGTAAGCGAAAGTATAAACGCCCGTTTTGGCACTAGTCCAACAACGAAGATTTTTCAGGTGGTGGTGAACGATTTTTGCCACTCGACTCGCCTTTCGCCAATATTCCCGACTTCACCACATCCGCCTATTTTTGCCGCAATAATGAGACGAACCACTGGTGTAATGGTACGGTAAACCACCTATACTATTACGGAGGTACTGTAGAAAGGACTGATTCAGGTACTGGAATGCCATGGATTTATATGCACGAACAACAAGGCAGCTAATGCCCTTGTTCGCTGCTGCTTCCACGCCTACGCGGATTCTATTTATCTAAAAATGGACGAAAAAGTCCCGGGATTGAAAGCTATAAAGGTCAGAAATCAAATAATCAATCGATAGTTGGAACTGATCCAAAATGTCCGTGATTTTCCAGGAAGGATCCACGGGAGAACGATCACCAGGTAGCCCACAAAGCGAAGAGGGCAATTCCATCGAAGGAGAGGATCATGTCGATCGTGCGCCGAAGGTATCAATACCGTTTCTTTTATTTATTGATTGATTTTTATCGATTGTTCCCTTGAAGGGATGGGAACGACGCCAACAAGACGGCGAATACGATAGTGTGAGCATTAGCAGCAGTTTGGTCCGTGGAGGAAAACGTGCGGCTAGTGAGACAGGTAACTTCCATTCATACCTATGGTTACCGAACTGACTATAAGGTCGTTAGTGTCCGACCAAGGTGGTGAACTTTTGATGGATCCATCACGATTGTGAGTTATGCAGTCAGTTGCGCAAGCTGATATGGGCTCGGTCAAGGCCCTCCGTGCGCTGACAATATCTAACGGACGAGGTGCGGCGGCCCCGCGCCCTCATCTATACGATCACCGGCGACCATCTTGGTCACCTATGGCCGTCAGTAATTGCTTTGGGTCAGGGATTGGCGCTACCGGTTTGGGGATCCCAGGGATGTGTTCTTTGAAGATCCGCTCGAATCCCGAGAGGGTAACGGGTCAGGGCAAGGGCTGTCTTTGCAGCTACTGTGTGTTTTGTATAAACAGTGCTTGTTTTCAACCGCTTGGTATGCCCGTAATCCCTTCCACAGCACCTACAAAGCTCCTTCAATTATCATAAAATTATACCGTAAGTTGAAATGTGGTGAGAGTAAGACGGTAACCATGCTCTCAACCCACCATGATCGTATAACCTATCGTGCTTCTATATTGTTAGTCGGAAGCCACTAGGGGTTTCCCACATCGTCTCATGCCTCCCTCAAATACGCCACGCACTCGATTTCCACCTAGAATTGTGGTGGCAGTTGAATGCGCATCCGATCCATGCAACAAATTAGACCAACTATCAAATGGATTAAGGGCGAATACTCGGTGTTGACCAACCCTTTTTTGGGTTGCGCCATGCGTTCTGTCTTCACTCAGAAAGGTAGCGGCGTTTTGAATGCGAGTAAACCTATTTGATGACTTGCAAGAGCCAGGCAATGGTATATTTCAATGTCTCAATCCTCCCAGGCATGTCTGGTAACACTTACCCTACCCCGGGGTTACTGTGGACTCTGTAGGCTTGATCCGAACTTGCGTTCCCCTTTTCGATCTGATCCTCTTCTGTATAGAACTAGAACGCATGGCGCAACCCAAAAAGGAGGTTTGGATCAATCAGCAAGTGCTTTCGTTCGTGAACGCCACTTGGCATTGTTCCATTTCCGCCCTAGGGCAGCTAATGCCAGTGCTTTTTCCTCCCTAACCAGCCAGCTAAAAATGGCTGGTCTGTGTGTAGAAGGATTAGTTGGTCTGAATTGAAAAGGCAGCCCCTTGGTCTGCAGGTACCTAGCGAGGGAAGCTTTGTGGCCATTCGGAGATCTGGCCTGAATAGTCCCCCCGTCTTGCGACCCATTAGTTGCTGTAACAAGAAAAAGGCCCATTACGAATGGTCAAAGCATATTGGTCACCTTTGATCTGTTAGGAGCAGGAATCTGATGTGGTCTGTCTCGGGCATTGAATGAATTCCTCCTTTCTTGTCGTGACCCATACTGAGGGATCAGGTAAGAACATCCGGGAGCTGTAGACTAACTAACTACTTTGTACTGTACTTTGTACTACCCATCTGAAGTCCTGTATTGAATGGGAAGAGGCGCTCGCCCGAGCACGAGCTGTGCCAGACTACCAGATACAACAGGCTTCCCTTCCGTCCCTGATTTCAAGTACTAAAAACAGACTCCCAGATCTCCAGTGAGCTTTACTGACTGACGGAGCGATCTGTCTGCTGGGAGAGTTGAGTGAACATTTATCGACATTCCAAAGCTCTCGCGCAGCGCTTGCTGCACCCTGGAAACACCAGAGACCGGGGCCGCTCCCGTTCCCACGTCGATTACCTTGTCTCATTTCTGACAAGTGCGAAGACGATTCGTTCGTGGAATTAGCGGGCACGATGCAGTATTGAGTTTGACGCCGACGGCGCGACGACGGAAGCCAAAGAGCGCGTGTGTGCGTGAGGGAACGGCGAGACAGAAGAAACGTCGGTAGTCGGTCGCCGAAATCGTCCCGTGGGTTCGAAACGAGGTCAAAACTGAAAAAGCAACTTGCGCACACACACGTTCTCAAATGAATGGTTTCAACCGCGCTACGGCCGCGGAATTCACAGAAAATCAGGACATACCGAATCTTCACATCGACCATGGGGGGGGGGGGGGGCGGTGGGGGGAGGGGGGGGGTGGGCGGGGGGGGGTGGATGCTGTCGGGACCCAGGGAATGCACGGGGAGTAGGCGAAATTAAGGCTGAAAATGGTGATGAAGTAGGCCCAAATTTTTGCTATAATTCTCTATTAAAGATCACTATCTTGAAATTGCCGGTACACTTCGCCCAATATGCGCCATGCACATTGACTCCACCTCAAATTAGGCAACATTCTTTGTTGATGAGGCCCGATCTTGCAGCTTAGTCAAATGAGCTGATCTACGAATTGGCTATCCAAGTTTCTAGTTTGCTAGTTTTTAGTAGCTATTGATGCACCTTTCAAATCGATGGAGTTATTGTTGCCCCTAATGAAACTTGAGTGCAGTGATGAGGGCCTTCCCAGCAAGCCGGGGGTTTTTTAGAAAGGAGTGAAATCGACCTTATGGAAAAGTCTAAGGTCTTCTTATACGCACTACGCCACTAAACTGTGGTTAGCTTCATATTTTATGGGCAATATTTACTCCTCCTCCACCCCCTCCCCCCTACCGCCCTTCCCAAGCCACGTGATGCCCCTATTTTGATCCCCGATTATAACAGTTCCATTTATCCATTTTTCACACGTCGGGCGTTCCTGGCCAGAAATAGCCGCAGTCTTTAGCGCTTCATGTCCCAGGAGCTTATGGTCAGACAATTGCCCCTACCCGAAACCATGGTCAGATTTGCTCAGTCATGTCCTTATCTGCATCGGTTCTGGTTACCAGACCGTGAATAGGACCCTGCTGCTTAGACGGACTTTCCAAATTTCTTTAGCGGTATCGGGTCCTAGTGCTCCAGAAACAGTTCTGCAAGCAGTAAGATGGGCTGTTCAAGAATTGCCGACAAATAGCGTGTTCTGGATTGCGGAAATGCAGAAAAATCTGGCCACAGTAGTTTCCATTCACGAAATAATAGTGCGATCGACGATCGACCGTTTGTCAATGAGCGATAGGCTCGCCGATTTGTCGGTGCGCCCAACGATCCGTTTCTTTAAAAATTTTTAAATTACATCATCGAGCGTCCCGCAAGATTGCGTCGTTCATACCACCGTTTAAAAAAAAAAAAAAAAATCGATTCGTGAAAGGCTGGGGGTGCCTGACCGACATTCCAATGCCAGTCAAGCCTGCAATTGAGCAAGTGTGGGCGCGTGCATGGCGCAACCCGAGATGTCTTTACGATTTCAATTCTTAGTGTTTTCTTTTGATGACGCAAACAGGCTCTTTCAGGTGTCACCCGATCGGCTCTGGTGCCATTCTCGGAGCCACCACGTCGTGCCGGCAGCGGCTCGGGTCCACACCACCCCTACGGCCCACCGATGCCACCACCAGGAGCCCGAATGCCGTTCCCGATGCATCCGCCACATCCCCACCATCATCCGATGATGGGCTACCACCCACCACCACCTCCACCACCTCCACAGTTCTTCAGAGGGCCGTATCCACCACCACCGCCACCACCACATCACATGATGGGTCCGCCATCGATGCGGTTACCGCCAGGAGTCCGAATGCCACCCCCTCCACCCCATATGTTCCCAATGATGGCACCACCGTTTGCACCACGAGGATTTTTCATGCCACCACCTCCACCACATTTCATGGGACATCCGTATCGTCCAACCAGCCCCGGCGAAGGACCAATTATTACCGGACCGGAGTCGATTTACGGTACGATCCCGCGTCGAAACGCCTACGAGGAGCCAGTGTACATGCCCGGATCTCATGTGGGACCACCTGAGGCGTCCTATCAGCCAGGGAACTACCCTGCTGACCACTACGAGTCCTACTATGACACCTACAGGAGGAAATCAACGAAGAAGGTCAGTCTGGGAGCTACTCGAAGTAGGTGAAGCTCAGGAGTAATTTTGAATTTCAGGATGGTGCCGCCAGCAGTGTTCACTCCCGACAAGACAGTTCTTCAGTTTGGGAACAGTACGAGGCCGGCATTTACAGAAAACCCCACCTGAACGAGAAAGCCTTTGGAGGAACATTAAAGTGATTTGTTGTGCTTGCTTTGTGAATATTTTTGTATTGATCGAATCGATTTTATCGATCTTCAGTGGTCTTAGGTCAACGGCGGTCAAGGAAACGAGCAACACCACGTTAAACAGAAATGGCAGTCCTGAAATGACTACGCAAACGGTTGAAGCAAACGTAAGACGATTTTTTGTACAGATTTCAGAAATTTTCATTGAAGGGCGGAGCAGAGACGCAGAGACGTAGAGGATGCTCTGCTTGTCTGCGCTCAGCATCGCTTAGGAACCCCAGGAACGGTACTGGGAAAAGCGTTTTCCGATAAAATGGGGTACTGTAGTTAACAGCGCGGGGCTAGTGGAGTCTAAAAATGAACCAAGACCCATAAATCGTGCATAAATGTGGAATGTAAGCACTTTTGCTCTACAAATTGGACCCAGCCTTGATACGCCACACATTTCATTTCTAGTCGTAGTCGTAGTGACATTTGAATGCCCTTTTTATCTTGACAATGCCCTCTGAGATCCTTTCGAGCAATTCTATACAGTTCCTCAGTGCTTAGCAACATTTGCCATGGTGTCTTCCGATTTCCGATTTCCGATCTAAAAATGCATTGCTGAGGGTCGTTTCCTTTTCTTTGAAAAAATATCGAAAAAGCGATTATAATTCTGCTTCAATTTCTAGGTTTCCCGACCGGACACACCACCAGTCGACTACGAGGCATTTGAAAATATGAAGATCAAGCAGACGCAACAACACGGTGGCAACGGCCGAACCCCTGTCTACTGAGCACATGACATTTTTTCGCTTTCCCATAGTGCCTTTGGGGGCCATTGCGTCGTCCCTGTATTAAGGATTAGCCCATGTGTGGGCACCTTTAGCTTGCCATCAACCGCCAAGTTCGGCGTTTGCGTTTGGGAGACAAAAGGCGTTCGCCAACAGCGGCAGCTGAGAAAAGCCCTCGGGTTATGTGTGTTTGTCTGTCTCGTAGTGTTCTGTGTGTGTGTACCTTGTTTCCCGCTCGATATCACTTTTTGATGCTCTTGATGCTATCTGATGCGTGGCATGTGTTGTCTTGTCTGCAATTACGACACGTCCAGCCGCGGGAAATAGAGTGTATAATCGTGTGTATGTGTGTGTGAGTGTGTGTGCGTTGTCTGCGCGTTGTGTGTGCGCTTGTCTGTGCGTATGTTAGATACTTATATATAGAGTTACATTATCACTGCCTTATTTTGACCCGTTTTCTTGTTGTTCTATGATTGAAAAATCGATTGATTGATTGATTGATTGATATTCGAATTGTTCACTTTCAGCTCTTCTCCATATTACACATATTTTCTATGAAATATCAGTGCCAAATGTATTTTTACAAAGTGCGATACATAATAAATACGATTTTCTCGTCGTATTATTGATTTTCAGTCTTTGTACTCAAGCATTTTTCACCATGCCAATCGACGCTGTTGTTGATGGCTTTCTTATCGCCTGGACCCTGGCTTGACGCAACAACCCCAGATGGGTCCATACAATTGCCATTGATCTCTTGAAAAGATGTGTAGGCCCTAGTCGAGATGATATGAGAAGTTGCAGGAACGAAATCTGCCCTTTAAAAAGACGCTGCATAACGGTTTTGCATAAGCGCAACTTTGGTCCGTCCGTCTTTTGGCCGCACTGTCAGCCGTGGCGATCGCAAGCAACGTGGACTGGCGAAGCCGCGATTAACATAACCGTCAGATTCAATAGGACTGATAAACATATCACAAAGATTCTGTGTTCATT